AAAGAAGGGAGAAAGTGGAGAAAGAGCGCGAATGAGAAACGAGCACGACAGTTCCTCGAGCGGACTGACTGACTGTTTCTTTCGGGATTTGTGGTGTCTGCATCTACCCGGTTAGAGGGATAACAAAAGAAATAGTAGCAGGATACGAGGGAATACATTCGAAGAGAGGGACTTACAGCAACAGAGAACGGAAGTATTTTGTGTCAATCGTCGGATGTCTCCTCCAGTTGAGAACAACTTTGACGTTTTTCGGTGACGATTTCTATGTGCACAGAAACGTGCCAGAACTTTTCTGGTTCCGATTGCCGATACAATCGCTTTGAATTCGAAGCAGCATATTGCGACATACCGTGTGATATTTGCATTTTTTGCGCCTCATTACATCCAACTGTGTCATTGATAAAAAACGTTTAATAACAATACGTGTAGATGTCATGAGAGAAGTGACTTGTGATATTTCATTTTAAGAGCTTTAACGAGTTGAACTTTAAAGATACAAACAAGCAATAAGCTTGTCTTTCAATTAATTTTAATTGCATTTTTTTTAATTACATATTAAATTCAAAGCATGCTTGCTAAGATATTTAATATTAAAAGAAAACTGCCATTTTTTTCTTCCCTCGAAGAAAAAGTTTTATAGAGGGAGAGAGATGTGCCATTTTTGCAAGGGGATTGAAATAACGACAAGGATTGCAATTCGCGAATATGTTAAGGACAAGTCGATTAGCGAAAGGACGGTAGTTCACCGCTAGATCATGGCATTTTGACGCCCCGTAAAACACGATTTTATTCGCGACCGAACAAATTGAAACATAAGCCGCTCGTAAGGAGGCTCCCTATCTACGACGCGCGCTCCTCCGCCCTCCACGCTGCTCATTCGTTTCCCCTTACGTGTATTCCACCCAGATATTTTACAACGGCGACTGAAGACGACAAGAACAAGGTTGCGGCGTTCACGCAAGCGGGTTATCCATGCCATTTCGCGAGATGCCGATGTCGTCCATGTGAATTTATCTCTTGCCTTTTACTACGCCCCCGCCCTCCCCCCCCCCGTCGTAAAAATTTATTTTTTCTCCTCTAAGCACACGTAAAGCCAAAAGAAAGCGCTCGACTCGGTTTTTATTCAAGTATTTTGCGTTCCTTGCAATCGATCGATACTAAATCTCCTCTCATCTCGCCCACATTCCTTGTCTTTTCAATCCGAGCTACAAAATAAATAAAAGAATTGGTGAATTTCCATATAGTCGCAGTCTGGGACAATTCGCACAAACGTGCGATACGTAAAATTACAATTGAGTTGAAAAATAAGCAAGTGGATAATAGAAGTTACAAGTGTATTCCTTGAATGGTAAATCTCTTTACTCAATCTTGCAATTCTTACGGTATTATTTAAGCGTAAAATATAAACTCGCGTGATGGGGAGAAACGCGATTATGCGGCAAGAAATGATAACCGGCGACGACAACGGGAAACCGGGCGCGAAATGGGTGGGAGGAGGTAGCAAAGGGGGGGGGGGAGGGCAGAAGAAATTGCGCGCCCGGGCACGTACAAACGACGTTGCTCGCAGAGTCGACGAGAAGTCGCCAAATAGCGGGGCACAATTAAGAGAGACGCCCGCCTCGTGAATTAAAAGCGTCAGCCCGCTAAAAGATCAAGAATTCCCTTGTGTTTCCCGTCTTTCTTTTTTGTCCCTCCTCACCCTCGGCCGCCTCCAAACCCGCTGTCCCCGCCGACTCATTCCACGCTCAACCTACACGGCCTCCTTCGAGCGGGCGCCACCACCTTCCTCGAAGCGGGATGGAAGGAGGGGCTGAAAAGAGAGTTTACGAAGCTGGAATGAGGGTGCGCGCTACCGGGGGGGGGGGGAGGGCGAAGGGAAGGGAAGAGTAAGTTAGGTAGCACGGGCGGTATTTTCATTCCGATTCTTCTTTTCCTCCTCCTTCACGGATTGAAGAGGCCTTTATAACGGGGCACCGCTTTATGGCACAGCTTCGCCGCTATTATACGTGCATCGGCCGTTCGTTGAGAGACGGTGAGAAGAGGATGCAAGCAGCAGCAAGACATACATATATGGTTTTCGGTCTCAAGAAAACGGGCGAGTTTAGCGAGGTGGGGATTGAAAGGAAAGAAGCTATGATACGGGAAGCAAAAAAAGGCCTCTATGAAAGAAGATTACGCGTGGGGGACGGGGGGGAGGGGGGAAGACGGAGCTGGAAAGACTGTGCTCTGCGCCACGGACCCAACTATTCTCGGGATAATGAAGCTAAGGCGAGATTTCTCCCTTTTCAGTCGCGCGCGGCGAAACGATATCTCGAATGACTGATTGTGCAACCCCTTTGGCTGCCGGCGCCGCACGTAGTG